AAATCAACAAACAGCATTCGTGCGTATGTGTTGTTATTGTCCAGATGTGTGAGCACAGAGTGCAGCGCAGTGGAAACTGCATCCTCTGTACTCCTATTGCTGCGGTAGGCAAACTGGTATGGGTCCAGTGTGGGTGGGAGGCAGTTTTTCAGGTGTGCTAGGACCAGTCACTCAAAGCACTTCATTATGATGGGTGTGAGTGCTACAGGGCGGTCGTCATTCAGGCCTGTCGGGCTGGAGTGTTTTGGCACTGGGACAATGGAGGTGGCTTTGAAGCATGCTGGCACAGCTGCTTGGGCGAGGGACAGGTTGAAGATGTCCGTAAAAACCCCAGTGAGCTGCTCCGCACATGCTCTAAGCACGCGCCCGGGGGTGCCGTCTGGACCAGCAGCCTTTCGAGCGTTGATCCGGCTCAGTGCAGCGTGGACGTCTGTGGAGGTGAGTGAGAGGGGCTGGTTGTCTGCAGGAGGTCTGGTCGTGGTCTGCGTCTCCCTGTTGTCTCTATCGAAACGAGCATAAAAGTGATTTAGCTCGTTCAGGAAGGAGACATCTGTGGTTATCGGGGTGGAGTTTCTGGGTTTATAGTCACTGATGGCCTGGATGCCCTGCCACATGCGTCTGGGCGCACAGCTTGTAGCAGTGCTTGGCCTTGATGATGCCCCTCCTCAGGTTTGCCCTGGATACGCTGTAGGCCATTGCGTCATCTGATCTGAAGGCGGTGTTGCGGGCCTTCAGCAGGAGACGCACCTCCTTGTTCATCCATGGCTTCTGATTTGGGTACGTGGTGATCTGCTTCCATGTTGTAACACTGTCGATGGTGGTATTGATATAATCCAGCACAGAAGAAGTGTAGGTGTCAATGTCTGTGTGAGAGCCCGAGGTAGCCTGAGAAGCAAACATACTCCAGTCTGTGTGATGGAACTTGTCCTGAAGTACAGAGTCTGTCCCCGCTGGCCACACTTTAATAGTTGTCACTGATGGCTTCACACGTTGGATGAGTGGGGAGTACTTGGGGATGAGGAACAAAGAAAGGTGGTCTGACTGTCCCAGGTGGGGGAGGGGGGTCGTGGTGTAGGCTCTTGTGATGTTTGTGTAAACATGGTCCAGAGTTTTGTTTCCTCTTGTATTGCAGGAAACATGCTGGTGAAATTTAGGGAGCACTGTCTTTAAGTTTGAGTGATTAAAATCACCTGCAACTATAAATGCAGCCTCCGGGTGAGCAGTCTGTTGTTTACTGATAGCGGTGTAAAGTTCCTTCATAGCAGCTTTTGCATCGGCATCAGGGGGGATGTAGGCTGCAGTTACAATAGTGGAGCTGAGCTCCCTTGGCTGATAGAAAGGTCTACATTTAACCATGAGAAACTCAAGGTTAGCTGAGCAGTGTCTCCCAATAATGACAGAGTCTGTACACCAAGCTTTGTTAATATAGATGCACAGCCCTCCTCCTCTGGTCTTACCGGAGTCCTCTGCTGTTCTGTCTGCTCGGAGTGTGTGGCGACCGGCTAGCTTGATAGCATCGTCCGGTACTCCGTTGTTTAGCCATGTTTCCGTGAAGATCATGACATTACAGTCCATAAGTCTCTTACTGTGGATGATGCGAAGTCGTAACTCGTCCATTTTGTTCACCAAAGACCGCACATTAGCGAGGAAAATGCTGGGTAACGGGAGACGGTGCGGTGTTAGCTTTAGCTTAGCTCTTATACCTCCGCGCTTCCCCCGCCTTTGTTTACGGTCTCGACGCCGCCTGCGAGCACTTCCGCCCGGCCGGGTAGAGTGCGTAGCCTCGGGTGTTTTGGCGATCTCGGGTATGAGTCGAAGATTGTTGATTAGATCGTCAGGGAGGTGTATTCCAATATCCAAAAGTTCCTGTCGGGTGTAGGATGTTAAGGCGAGGCTGTTCCGTACGAACAGACCCAAAAATTAACAATAAAATTACTGCAAAATTGCAAATCTGAGAGAGACGCTGGGCCTCGCGATGCGCTCGCGCTGCCATCTTGGTTTGTAGGTAAACTAGCATTGCTTCCTCCTCTTCAAGTGTTGTCTGCCGACACCAGAGGATACCCTCTCCAACAAGATGGACTCCAGCATTCGAGACAAACCCTTTCCTCCTCTGCTTACATAGGAACTCAGCTCCTGCAACCAGAAGACCTATAGAGCAGCGCTCTGGTCGAAGATCTGAATCCCGCTACCCTCCTCCTACATCTGCCACGAAGGAACCCTGCCTGAATCTGTTGATTTAACATTCAACAGAGTGACGATCTAACCAACTTTGCAACGATTACCAGGAGTTACCCCAAGTAAGAGCTTTGGTCTGGGCAGAAATAGTTTCAGAAATAGTTATGTTTCTTTTATAACCACTGATAATTATACATCATTGTTGACGAGACGTCACATTCTGTTTGTTATCTGTTGTAAGCTGCTGCATTTGTTTTATTGTAATGAACTGCTGAGTTCGCTTATGTGTTTAATGCTATGCTAGTTTACCTTCAGTCAACGACTTTCACAATCAGAAAGACCAGTGTACCCGCCGTTGAATCAAAGTCCGGCCACTGGCTTTCTGGTGTTTGAGTAACAGTTACTGAACTCAGCTCAGAGAGCTCAAACTATTTCAAAAGGCAGCCACACGGCTTCCTTTGTTGTCCACCATTTTGTCACCATGAAGAAGCCACATGGTGCATTGTCTCTCTCCACCATCTTGTTTTCTATCTCTCTCTCTCTCATCTACACACACACACACACACACACACACACACACACACACACACACACACACACACACACACACACACACACACACACACACACACACACACCTCATTCACAAGACTTGCTTGATAATGTTTGTTGCTTAGATTAGTTTATGATAGTTATTTGTTTGATTAAGTTCATTGATTTTGGATTGATGTTGCTTTGTTTAAATAAATTCTGTTATAATTTAAGAGAGCAGTTGTTTGTGGTTACTGGTGTATTTGCATTGTGATATAAGCTGGGTGTGAGGGCTTTGTGTACGGATTTCACGCCTTCAATTTATTAAATATAGTTATTAATTATTAATAATATTAGTAATTAAGTAACTAATTTGAGACTGAGTTTGGTTATATTTCCCTGGTTTCAGGGTGGTGCCCCAATACTGATTAAACATAGTTTAATTATATTTTATTTATATTATTAATAATTAAATATAATTATTAAAGAATATAACCAAAGTTGACTTGATACAACCCCAACACTTCCAAAAAAGGGCACATAACGCAGGGCTCGACATTATAAATGGCCCTCTGGCCCGGATGAATGATTGACAGAGTCCAGCTGATTGCACGTTCAGCTGGCGGCTTCACTGCTGTCACTCCCGCAGGCGCACTCACTACACTGGAGTTGTACACTCACACACAGATTTTAGCGCAGGTTTTCTCTACTAAAACACACGTTTGGTAAAACGGTTTTAAAACCATCAGATCCCGACAAAAGCCTATCTTACATCAGAATTCAAATTTAAAAAATCACCAGAAAAGTTGAGAGTGACAGCAGGGCATGACGAAAACAGAAGGGAGAAAAGTTTGAGCCACAGTGACAGACAGCTGGAGGAGCTGGAACACATTAAAGTTAAAGACAAGATCCTGGTGAAGTTATTCACAAAGCATCTTAGCCCTTAAGAGAGCTCCTAAAGTAAAGATCTAAGGATGACGAGTTTCTTACAGAGAAGAAAGAAGGAGAGATTCCAGATCTATCACAGCCTCATATTAATATCACATTAAGTAGACTCTTACAGTTAGCAGCATGGTGAATAAACATGAGCACATAAATATTCAAGAAAAATATTGTGTATAAGAAAAATACACAATATTTTTATAATTAGAGCTCAATTTATTTAATAAAAGTTGTAATTGACTTTTGCATCAGAATGGTTCAAGAGTAAATTGGTGACTGTTATTTTTCGAATCAAAAGTAATGTTCCTGGGCCAGTGGTTACAATGGTCGGGCCAGTGATATATATATCACTGAAATATATATATATATTTTTAGACAGTGGAGTTTCAGTTTTATAGACTACATTTATAAACTTTAATACGATAAATATCGAGTCATATCGAATATCGACATTAGGCAAAAAAATATCATGATATCAAATTTAGGCCATATCGCCCAGCACTAGGCATGATCAAATACAGGATCAGAGTGGATTCAGAACAAGAAACTTCACACACATGTTTTGAGGAGCTCTGAGACTTATTTAAACTGAAGAAAAGGAAGAGGAGGATATGGGACCTTTAACACAGGACAGAGAAGAAGAATCAAACTGGACCTCAAATATGACCACCTGATTCTTTTCAGTTTAATTTTCCTCTCAGAGCTTGAAACTTTAATCAAAACTCAAAAACATCAGCTGCATTTCAGCTACTTTCATATTGGTAAATGCATTTTTTAAGACTAGGTGACATCAAGCAAACTATTTAATTTAGGATGGGGCGCTGGTAGCCTAGCGTTTGGTGCACACTATGTACAGAGGCTTAAGCCCTTGAGAGCAGGCGTGCGGGTTCGAATCCAACCTGTGGCTCCTTTCCCCACGCTTTTTCTCTGTCCACTGTCCTATCTCTAAAATAGAGGCATAAAAAGCCCCCAAAAAATCCTTTAAAAAAAGAAATGAATTGAGGGTTTAAAAAAGGAGAATAAGAAACTTGAGTACAAAGTTTGAACAGTTAATCTGTACTGTATTGCTTTTTAAAAAAGCTGACTAACAGACAGCATGCAAGCGTTGGATAGTGTTGGATATCGCGGGGCAGACATCAGAGCTAAAACGGCGCGCTGCGTTGCTTTCAGGCTGTAAGGACGCTCCAGGAGTAAAGAGCATGCTGGCCGGTGTGGCATGCTGTTAGGACGAGCTGTAAGAAGTAATGAGAATGAGAGAAGGTCTGTGGCTTCCTTTCATAATGACGGGGCGTGTTCTTTAGAGGAGGCGGAGATAGTCAACATTACAGTCTGAGGTTTTCTGTGACTAAAACAGAGAAGCAATAACCAGAGTGAACTGAAGAGCAGCATCATGATTACTTTCTTCTGTTTCACCTTCAGTGTTTTTCTCTTCTCAGGTAATCTAATGAAAAGTCTGTTTACACATTTGTTGTTCTTCATTTCTGTTCATCCATACAGCTGCAGCCTTTTACTGAGCATGACTGTGCACTGTTGCTTTTCCCACAGGTTCGTCCCTCAGCCAAATAGTCGAGCAGACGCCGACGCACATGTTCAGCAAACCGGGAGAAAAACCCCAAATCAACTGTAAACATGAAATCAAGGACTACAACCGAATGCTCTGGTACAAACAGTTAAAGAACAGACAGATGCAGTTCCTCGGATACATGAATGTTAAAGACGGCTATCCTGAAGATGGAGTTCATGTGAAGATTGAAGGGAGCGCACTGGAACGCCAGAACTGCACGTTAACAATAGAAGCAGTGGAGCTGAGCAGTAGTGCGGTGTATTTCTGTGCTGCTAGTCTCCACAGTGCTTCATAACTTTGCTCCTCAATACAAAAACCTGCTGATACTGTTTTTATTTCATCTCAGCGCTGCACTCCACAGCCCCTTACAGCTGTACCACGACATACTAACCAATGTCGGCCTTTTTTTCTAATCCAGATCTGATATAACAGGAGGAGGTTTCGTATCAGCAGCAGTACTTCTGCGTTTGTTACACTTTCAGGATTTGTCATCATCTCTAAAATTCTCACACATTTCAGTCAAGAAAATTACAGAAATATAACCCTTTGTTTTTGTGGTGATTGGACATTTCTGTGTATTTTTCCTTGTTTGGTGCTTGTGTTTTTTTTCTTTCAGAGGCTGGGTGTGGCTTATTGGCTGCTGGAGCTCTCTGCAATCACTCACCTGTTCGTCATCTGTAATCACCGGCTGCAGCATTTATACCCTGGTTCAATTCTCCCAAGCTGTCTGATTTTTTCCGCCTACACCATGACAGATCGGCTTCTCAGTATCAGTAGACTTTTTTGTGCTTTGGATACCTGTCACTAATTATCCCTTGTCTTCTTTTTTCCCCAGTGCCTCCAACCATCGAGCTCCAGCGCCTCACCACCCAGCCTCTCATTCAAGCCTCACCAGCCTTCACCAGCCTCACTTCAATAAATACCCCTTACCCACCACCCTGTTTTCCGGTCTTGCTTTTGGGTCCACTTAAAAACCTTTAAGATCATAACAGTTTTAAATGAGATTTAAAGGCATGCCTGGTGTTAAACACGTTCCTTGAGCTTTCCATTCCAGCCAAATTAGTGGAAAGATTTTTTCTCAATGCAGACCAAAGCAAAACAACAACCAGCTTTCCATTAGCTTTGTCACCACCTGTGTTTTTTAGGGTCTCTTCACCTCTAAATACACATACAAGAATATTGTATAAACTGGTAACAGTGAAATAACTGCATGTGTAATGGATATAAGATTGTGCACTAAGTTAAATTAATAATACATGTTAAAACTAGTGTCTACGTTGTATATCCTTTAAAAATGCTAAAAAGCTAGTTATAATTTAATGTTAATTCATGCTGCTAAGGTTAAGTTTAAAAGCATATCGGTAATTGATTGGTTTGGTCTTAAGCTTTTGTTATTGTTTTACACTTCCGGTTTTACGCCAGCAGGGGGAGCGTGTTGTCTGAGCGTCATTCATTACACCATTGAATGAAAGCCAGCAACAACGTGTTTGTTTGTTTCTTCTTTATTTCTCCCCTTACAGGTAAGAATACTGGTTAAAAGTGAATAAAACCAAGTATAAATGTGTTGTAAGTTTCCGGGAACAAGTTAGTGATATGTTTTACAAATATACAAAGTAATTTCAGTATGTTTATGAAGCAGTTTAAGCATGAATGTGTTTGCCGTGATGCGTGCATGCTAGCTTGAATCACACAGACAGAGCGCAATAGAGACCGTGTAGTGCGTCTACTGAGAGTGTGTTATTTAAGTTGTATCGGTCAGTTGAACAATTACAGTTACATGGTACAGTTTAAGAAATATCACTCTGCAAGTGTATAATATTGTACAATGATAATATGATGTGTTATTGCATATTATTCATTACACCATTGACTGAAAGCCAGCAACAACGTGTTTGTTTCTTTCTTCTTTATTTCTCCCCTTACAGTACGCTGTACAGGGGTGTAACACATGCACTGCCTTAATTGCACACATAAGTTGTCATGACTGAAAAGACGACACTTTCAGCAGAATTAAAACTGCTAACTGCTCACTCCCTTCTTATTCCTGATACCAGTAAGTGCTGTCTGCCACTGACCAGCTGTAACTGATGGCATGCAGATACCCTCTCTACAGCTTACCATTTTAAGAAGGTTTAATCATTTCAATGCTTGCAATTAAACCATGGAAACAAAAAACAAAAGTATAAATATAAAGCTAAATGAAATACAGCAGGGTCCTGAAAAAAGGATTCAACCAACAGGTGGAGGCACAGCTCATTGTATACACACACACACACACAGACACACACACACACACATTTATTTGATTTTAAACAATCCTAAACTATTTTTATTTTGAATTATAACCGTTTCTAAATCTGTTTCCTCCACATGTCAGGTGTGTGCTGTCTCATTTGAGCAGTCTCCTCCACAGATAGTGAAGGAGAACACTGAGGTCCAGATCACCTGCAGACATGATGATAACGTCCGCTGATGCTCTGGTATCAGCAGAGAAACGACGGCCAGCGCCGCTGACCTTATTGGGTTTGAAATGGGAAAAGTACCCCAAGGTACGAGGTCAATTTGTCAAACAATTCATGCTTCATGCTTCATATCTGAAGGTCACGCAGAGCGACAAACTGACGTACAGCGTGTTCATCGTGAAGAGCTGTTTCTACGGAGCGTTTGTAGCTTTTCTGCTGCTCAAGTTTCAGGTGAGCTCCAGTTTAAATCCTCTCCTCTGACCGCTTTGGATCTGTGAGTTGAATAATAAAGACGTGGTGTTCTTTCTGTTTGTTCCAGGGGGCGAAGCAGAAGAACTGAGAGCAGAGCCGACGCCTCACAAGAGGATTCTGGGAAATCTGCTCAGTGTTCATGTCTGTGTATGAAGTTAGCAAACCTTTAATCTTCAAGCTACTTTTAAAATGATTGTTCTTTATGAAACAAATCTAAAGGTTCTCCAGACTTTCCTGAGTTATTGGGCTGAAGAGGAACCCGGGATGTTGGTGTGGATGTGTAAAAATAAATGTTTGCAAAGGGGTGTTTCCATGCTTTCTGCACAGTTGAGTTCTGTCAGTAATCAATGCACCTAAAAAAACATGACCTTGTTGCTAACACAAGTTTTTTAAATCAAAGATATAAAATGCAGCGCTTCATAATGAACACAAACAGAGTCTGTTTTTTTTCCATTTTAATGTCAGAGAGTCTCGTTATGAATTATCTGATTCCTGTTTTTGGATTTTTTGTGAGTTGAAATAAATGAAACTGTAAATTTTGTTCATGATGATGTGTCGATAAAGGTGTTTTCAAACGTGCACAAACATTCCTGAAATGTTCTGAGTGACCTGCATGTGTGAACGCCGACAGCCAACTTCATCCTGATATTACCCAGAATTCATCCTGCAAGCCCCTACTAAAATGTCCGTGTGAAGTCTGGTCACGTCCATATTTGAAAGCATCGGATATTATTCAGGATATAACATGTGATCTCTGACGTTCAGGTCAAACAACCAGTCACACTGTTTCTGATACTATGTGTAGGAGCCATTTTGTGTTTACATTGGCATGTTTTATAATTAGATTTATCTGAATATATTATTTTCCACTAGGGACACTGAATGCACAGGGGTGTATATATATAGTAGCACAGGTGACAGGAAAGGGAAGGCACAGGTACGGGGAGCAAAGACAGTTCTCAACAGACCGGCATTCATGTTCAGACCAGCACTCAGACCAACTACAATTCATTCATTCTACTGGCTACGCTTCACTGGAAATGGTATGTTTTTTGTTCTCAATATCTCCATCAAGTCACTTCAATAAACTCAACTCAACGGCTGGAAAATCATTTGTTTACATCTGCGTAAGACTTCACCCCTACCTGTGTATTAATGGCAATAATTGGAGCAAAGGAAAAAATTGGAAAATTACCATTACACTATGAATACGTCCAATTAAACGCAGCATTGATATAAGATACAAATGTCGTCATATCATCATTCTCTGATGCTTCTTTATTTTTGGGCCTTTATTTGAGAGATAGGATAGTGGACAGAGTCAGAAATGGGGGAGAGAGAGAGGGGAACAACATGCAGGAAAGGAGCCACAGGTCGGATTTGAAACTGGGCCGCCCGCTTGGAAGACTACAGCTTTCATACATGGGACATGCACACAAACCACTGCCCCACCAGCGCCCCAGACAGGGAGAATCTCTTGCTGTGAAGTGCATGTATGTGAACAGGAAACCCAGAGGATTTCAGGGGCGGACTCTCTATTTTCTGGAAATATTCAGCAGGAGTGTGAAAAAGGATTCAGATTGATCGCAGGCTCCTGAATTGAATGTCATCAGAATCAGGGTTTTTTTTTCATAATGAGTAATAACTTTGGACCTGTTCACCTAATGGAGTGACACTCCCATGAGTGACAGCTGATTGTAGGTGCTGCCATCTTGGTCTCTAGGCTCACACCTCCCACCTCACAGACTGTCAGAGACTCTTCTCTCTCAGATCATTCAGCTCTGAACAACAATGATCACAGCTGTTCTGATCAAGCTCTCTGC